CTTTGCTTGTGGCAGACTCTGTCATCATTTTGGTCGCATTTTGACATTTCACATGTTGACAGACATGATTAACAAACCATATCCTACTGAGGACACAGATGGATATGGTTCTGTGACCGAAATGTTTGCTGGGGAAGTACTACGTAGTTTTCAAATTTTGCATCAGAGGCGATGCTGCGTACAACAAATGACTGCTTTGTAACAGTCGAACGTGATTGGCTCTTACTTTTAGATCCAACACATCACATCAAGTTTAGACAATTACAACTCTAGAAATGTTTTTTATTGTAGGCTTTAAAATAGTTCTTTTACGATCTCATAATATTCTTACAGATTCTTATAATAATAAAAGCAGTTATAAGCCACTTAGAGCATGCTACAGCGGTGGAAAGGATGCGCACAAAGCAGCGAGCAAGTGTAGTGCGCATCTCTTTGTAAGATAAGAAATCAGAACTTTTTTCTACTATAGGCTTTGACATTGATTTTTTATGGTCTTATAATATTCTTACAGGTTATATCTATCCCTGCAAAATGTGTATTGTAGTCATAGAGCTTATACTAATGGAGAGGCCATGCCTATATGCTAACCATAGACAGGGCCGCGCGAGGAGCAACAGAGAGATAGATTTAGTTTGTCATGGAGATAAAGGAGGGAGTGGCTCTGAACTGTGGCTCCCCCACTTTGTGTTCTCTGTTATTCTCTTCTATGAGAAGTGCCCACAATTGAAACAGAAAAATATATCTCTCTTTGTCAATACTCCTTGCGCTCCCATGGCCTCTCCATGAGTATAAGCTTTATGAAAAGAAGGCTGCTTTCCTTTTAGGAGACACAGTCGACACAAAAGTCATTCTGTCTTTGTTTCTCACTGAATACAGAACAAAGACAGAACGACTCTTGTGTCGACTTGTGTCGACTGTGTCTCCTAAAGGGTCGTCTACAATGGAGAGTTTTAGACTGTAACAGTAAGAAACTGACAAATCACAATCGATTATTCTTCTGTACTTTGTCTGTGATTGGTCAATTTCTTACTATTACGGCCTACAACTCTCCATTGTAGACGACTCTTAAAAAGAAAGCAGCCGAAGTCTAAAGAGCCGTCTACAATGGAGAGTTGTAGGCCGTAATAGTAAGAAATTGACCAATCACAATCGATTATTCTTCTGTACTTTGTCTGTGATTGGTCAATTTCTTACTATTACGGCCTACACTCTCCATTGTAGACGGCTCTTAAAACATCATATATATCAAGTATTTTGTAAAAGTTATCATTTTATTTCTTATGTGTAAAATCAAACTTACATGATAGTGTCATAATAAACAATAATAGTATTATTTTATGCAAAATAAATATAAATGTTTAATAGTATGCCATTTACTAAGGTGTATTAATATTTTTTTTTAGTTATGGCTGCTTGTGATATTGCCAACATGGGTAAAAGTTTCTATTTGGTAAAAGATTCAGTTGGTTTGAACAAGATGCTGGTTGATGATATTGGTGTATGTATTTTACATAATTAAAAAAAGAGATTTGAAAGAAAAAAATAGTACTAAATATAAATTCTGCAGGATATTACTGTTACTAGAGAGAAACCTGAGAGCGGCCACGGCCATAAGAGTTTCTGTTATAGCTTTTTGTGGACATGGTTCTTTTCCGTGCTAAGTTTGTGGACATGGTTCTATTCCGTGCTATGGAAACACCGACGTGGTGGGGATACGCACACAAGCGAGAACCGTCGTCATACATCAACATAATATGCCTGCAGACTTCCACGAGCGCACACGGCCAACGGTCTCATAGCACGGAATAGAACTATGTCCACGAAAAGCTATAACAGAAACTCTTATGGTCGTGGCCGCTCTCAGGCTTCTCTCTGCTGTTACCAATGATGGTGTGACAATCTTACGTCTGTTAGAAGTAGAACATCCAGCTGCACGAGTTTTAAATGAGTGGCTGATATACCGACGATCTCTTCTACTCTTCCATATCGTTATTATCATTTATCGATATTGAAACATACCAATAAATGATAACATATGTTTCTTATAAAATGTTAAAAAAATACGCATGTCTGGAAAATTAAAAAACATTTCTTTAAACAATTTCTATAATTATATATATCTTTTATTATATTATTATACATCTGTTTGTTTTTTTACTCTAAAAGTGTCATACCTACATCTTTGCGGTGCGAGTACATAAAGTACCTTATAAATCGAGATATTTGTTATAAAGCACATATCAAAAATTATGTAGCATATATGCAAATCAACATAGTATGTTAATGAATAACAAAGACGTTCCAGATTTCCACGTGTTTATAATAAAAATAATGTGTTATGTTCCAATGATTTAAAATTGAACGAACTTTGACTTTCTCTCTACTTTCACACGTACAATCACACATACAATCATACTTATATACATGTTCTAGTCTTGTATTATACACATACATATTGTCATATATGCGCGGCCATTTAATGTAACCAATGCAATAATTCGGAGAAATTAAAATCCCAATGAAACAACCGCGCATCGCAATAAAACTTAAGATACATGCGCCAAAAAAAAAATCTTACGAGACCTGCAAATTGTTTCTTAAGGCCATTCATCTTCTTAATTAACTCACAATTGATTTTCGTGTCAATTGGCTTTGTTTTTCATATTATATTCCTTCACGAGGATCAAAGGTAAAATTTTTATTCACAACAATTGTCTAATAGTGCCGATATAAAGCAATATATGAAAGGCGATTGATAAATATCCGAAACGAAAAAGTGAACAACATTCTATTGGATTGATGTATTTATTTATTTTTCATTATAGTCGCCTTCTACCTCGATACGTTTTGACTAACGCTTCTCGAGGGTATTTATATTTAATAGAATAAATTTCTCAAACTTTTAAAAATAGTCATTTGCAGAGCATCGATGACTTCATTGTTGCTCGAAAATTCCTCTCCACTGAGTCAATTATTCAGTTTCAAAATAACTGGAAATTGCACATATCTGAATAAGGCGGATGAGACAACAGTTCGAAGCTCAGCTCGTAAATTTTGGCTATTGCAACAGTTGAAGTGTGAGCTGGTGCATTATCAAGAATCGCTGACAGCATCTGCTTCGGTGAGTTGTCACGCAAACACTAACGCGTGCGATAATTTCGGTTACTTATCAATCGTCCCTCGTACTTATTTGACAGTATAACCATCTTTAAACTCTATTGAAATTTGTGTCGTTGCGCATCACATCTGCACGATAATAAAACTTTATTTCGAACGTCTCTAAAGTATGAAAATCCTTATCATAAAATAAAATTTCTCTATCACGCTATTGCTTTTAGAACATCTTTACACAATAGATATACGACAAACGGTAGATATTAACAATGTCTAAATTTTCGATTTGTCTACGTAAAATTCACACACATATAGAGGTACACGTACGATTATATAAATTTGGAGATATTTCTTTCTGGATATTTCCTCGACACATATTTGGAAATACAACCAATGTTGCATCAGATTCATATTAAAACGTTCAGCGTAAATAAAAGTATTTTTAAATTACTGTTATATTACTTCCTGAAATTCGTTCGTCGCTCCGAGAACGCAATTTCGCCACGATTTGTTTGTCACGGTAGAAATAAAAAAAAAAAAAATCGCTGCAAAACTGCCACGCGATCTCATAGAATTAAAGATCGAAAACATTAAAATTTCGCCGAGCTCATGTATTCCATTCGACACGCGAAAAAGGATTCGTTTATTTACGAGAATGTAGGAACGATCGGCGTGAAATCGTTTTTCGCGATGCTGACGGCACAGGAAATCGAACTCATTGAAGTAATATTTCGTCTCAATCCTTGCTTCGAATTCCTACGACAATCGCCGGTCGGTGATTTCGCGTCGCTTCGGAGCGCACTTAAATGCTTTATGGAGCAAGCTCGTTTTGTTGCTGACGTCTGTCGATATATCGCGAAACGGCTTCGACGACGGGACAAACCATACAAACAATTCGAGACGGATCCGTCTTCGCGTTCTAAACTACGAGAAGCCGTCGGGTCGCGACTTCTCCTCTCCTTCTCTCACGCAATATTTGTCCGTCGTAATTATTTGCCAAAGATCGCAGCTTTCTGCCGGAATTGCTCCCGTCTCGCCGCTTTTTCCTCTTCTTCCCGTTTTCGCTCTTCTTGCTCCATGCGAATCTCATCCTCGAACTTGGACGCCTTTCGGAGCTGCTCAATCTGTACGATATAAAACAAAGGAGGAAACGTTAATCGGAGCGCGTGCAGAATATACCTACAACTCGTTTGGGTTACGCTTTCGCGCGTACATTTTTTTTTCTGTCTTCCTTTAAGCGCGCACGACACGCTGAAGTAAATTTCTGGGCCTGTCCGGGCGTGTGTCATCTCGTGATACGTGCACTTGTAGAAAACGCGTGCTTCACACGTGCAATAAATCGGAAAAGATATTCGATAGGAAAAGCTGTATCTTTTTTCCTCTGTGTGAGATTGATAGAAGTTGACGCGTATTTTTATAGCAATAAAAAATCTAATGCTTTATAATAAACCGCACGCAACACTTACAGAAACACAACAAATAATATAAATTTTATTCCAAAACAGCGTAGAAATAAACATATCTCGGGAAAAACAAACAATAGATAATTTTTATAATTTTTTAAAATTTATTAAATATAAAAAACCGAATATTTTAAGTGTTCAAAAACCTTGATACACAAAAAACAAAGAAGCTATCGTGTTTGACAATTAAGTGATGTATAGAATGTACCTTGGCCTCGAAGAAATGTTTAGCTCCCGTGACACCAACTTCGTCTACGTCGACCTCAGTGAGTCTGGCCAGCTGACTCAATCCAGAATCCTGTTCTAACTCACCAGCGCGGGCCTTACGATAGATAAGCAGAAACTGTAACAAGACGTACAACACTGTGCAGTGACCATCAATCGAAGATATGTGACTAACTATCGACAAACCGAATCGACTTTAGACATTGCTCTTGAAAGTAACATTATTACATGAAGTATCATGTCTCGGCTGAGATTCTTCACACACACATTGTTTCAAAGATTTGCGTAAATATTGGAATTTGTGTCGTAATTGAGAAATATTATCTGTCGCGCGCGCGCGCGTGTGTGTGTGTGTGTGTATGTGATTGGCATGTAAAAACACAAAGTGATAAGATGAAGCAAAAATGCAAAAAAGCAGAGCTGTTTTTTTCACATTCAGATAACTCTATAAATAAAAAGGTCAAATATAATAAACGAACGTTAACACACAGAACTCTTGAGGAGCTTGTAGCTTAAAAAAAAATACAGATAAGTAAGAACATAAAATAATGAAAAATACAAAAATAATTGAAAACAAAATTTGTATAATCAAATAATGACGAATTCAAAATGTGCCGTGATGTGTTTGCTTTGAACATAACGTACATCGCGTGACAAGAGAAGGAGGGGAACGTGTGTGTGTCGCTGCCGATTTACGGTAATTCATACACAGCAATGAGCAAGAGGAAGGTGAGTAAGCTGAGCAAACTACTATCGCGCGCAAAGTGAATCACAGTGGCAATTCAACACAACACGTGGGGAGGAACGCGAGTCACGCGTGCACGCATCGTGTATGCTACGCTCGATTTGCGCGCAGGCTTTGTTTGCGAAATGCGGAATGTCACGTACGATTGTTCGCGCGTGCATGTCGTATTAAGTCCAACTCTCCCTTCGAGCGATGCGCCCGCGATTTTTTTCCCGCGTCATAATGTTCACCGCGTTGAACATCGAAGGTTCGCTTTAAGAGCGAAAGTTTCCAACGCTGCGTTTCGCACGCTGCGGATTGCGAAAGTATCGGTTAAGCGCAATTGATTTCGCGTGCACGGCACGTCGTTAACCAGATGTTTTCGATACTCTTCTCGAGTGCATTTGAATATATTTTCCGATTTTATCGCACACTGCGACATTGTATATTTCAAATATACATAAAAAACACAATTAAAATTTGTTCCAGTCGCTAAATGTTTTTTTACGATTTAACTTTTGCGTAAAAAACACTGTGATTTTTTATTTGTGCATTGTGACGCACAGTGATAAACAATTGTTAACCGTTTCAAAATATCTCGTGTAAAATATGTTTTGCTTCTGCGAAACGAAAAAATTACAGTTTTGCTCATATTTTTTGCAAGCAGTTTTTAAACAAGTTTCCAAATATTTTTATTGCACAGAAGGAGACGTGGACCCGAAAATAGACCTGGCTCTCCGACATGTGTAGCCTCTCTAACGCACAGCTAAATGTCTGGAAAATAAACACGCGACTATCGCGCATAACTAGCGAGTGAGTCGTGTGTTCAACATTGCATGGGGTCTACTACTATTTTTACGGGTAGAGTTTTGCTTTTATGTCCTCGTCGCAAATAGACTTGCGACGTCCAAAATTAAAATTACGTCATTTAACGTTATCCCCAAAAAGGAAGCATATGAAAATAATGAGAAAAAAGAAACAAACAAAATTACATTTGGGAGAAAAAGAAATTAGAATTACATTTTTTATATATATAGAGAGATAACTTTTTAAGAGATAATTTTTCTTTTCTAGGAGAAAAAAAATTAGAATTACATTTTTTTAAATGTAATTTTTTTTTAAACTTTTTTTAAAAAGTAATTCTAAATTCTTTTTCTCCCAAAAAAGTTATCTCTCAGAACATTTTAAACAATTCTTTGGTAACAAAACTAGATATGTAAAATATGTAAAATTTCTAGGAAATAAAACAAATTTCTTTCTCACCCCCAAAAATTGTGGGAACAGTTGGTGCGTTTTAATTGTTGCGTTTTTGCGGACTTGCACGATGTACTAGTGTTTCCGATGAATAGGATCGTGCGCAAGAGCAAAGTTATGTGCAGTAAAATCTATTTTGGTTCAATATTTTTAACGACTGCGTGCGGAGTAGAACTAATGCTGGTCAGGGTGGTCATTATGTAGAGAGAAAGAGACCGGCGGTTATGTTTGCGTTGACTATTCGGGGTCGATGGCACGAAGCGGTGCGCTAAAACTAACAAAACAGAACAGAATGGCTTTACAAATCATTTTGCCTGCGGTGAAACGCAACGTTCTTTCGTGATGTAACCGATCTCAACAGATTAAAGGCGTCNCTGATAAAATCGTATGTAACTCTTCGAATAAGGTCTTGAGATTTTTGTAAAAACAAACAACCAACCTCGCGGAAAGATATACGACCGTCGCCGTCTTCGTCGACTTCTTGGATCATCGCCTTGAGTCCGAGATGCGTTTGCGGTGCGCCCAGAACTTCCATCATTCGCTTCAGCTCGGAGAGATCGAGATATCCGTCGCGTCCGTCGTCAAATCTGCAACGATAGAAATCAGATTTATGGTTTACTTGCTTTTTTTATAAAACAAGAAAAAAAATAATTAGTAGAATTGAATCAAGTTTGTAAAATTCAACTGGCGAGCCGTTTAATTAAATTTNAAACGAATCGTTATCTCATATTCATATCATTATCGAATTAATTAATTTAAACAATGTTGAACTTCAAAGCTAAAATTGTCAATGTTGCGGATGCAAAAGAGAATTGTTTCGAACATTTAAATTATTGATTCAAGGTGAGAAAGAATAGCTGCAAAAGGTGTATAATCTATTCTGCTGACTAGAGAATTTTGCTTTCGCGACCTCCTTTCGCCACTTCGGAGCGGTAGCATTTTTAAGTGATTGACCTGCCGATAAATCATCACGATGTCGCTTGGCTTAGTCAACAAGACGCCCGGCTAAACGTATACATATACATGCTTGCAACCAGTCGNCTCCGGTTAAAACGCGATACCGCATGCAATCTAATCGGCCCGGTCGTTGAATGCGGTTGCTCGACGTAGGCAGCAAGTAGGAAGAAAATTCGGGACAGTGTCATTATTGGCGAACGGGGCTTGCGCGATTAGCAAACTCATTTCGCCAAAAAAGTCGCCTCGATAAATTGGCCTCGAATTCTCGTCATCGCGAAAATAGCTCGCGTCTATTTNGTCGAATTCAAGAAATCTGGCTTCGACGACAGAAAATGACGGTAGTTTTTATGACGAAGCTCGCTGCATCTCCGCAACTGTTGTACGAATAACGGCTCGGGAAAAAAAATAAGAACCACTCATCGCGGATTAAAACTGTATACCTAGTATATAAAAAAAAAAGATAGAATGTAGNACGAGAAATTGATTTTGATTGCGACAATCAATCAGCTTTTCTCTAACGAACAAACGTCAGTTAACATTTCCCGTAACCGTAGTCGTAACAGTGATTGTCTTAACTCGGTCGTCATTAACATTCGTGACTTTCTTCGTATTTATTACGAGGCCGACGTCGGAATTGCAATGTGTGTGTGTGTGTGTAAAAGGTAGACATTTAATAACTAGAACGTCCTTCGTTAGAAAGCGGACAAAATAAATTGACCAAGATTCTGCAGAAAATTTCGCATGTTTGCAACTTTTTATCGCTAAAAGTTTTTCTCGCAGAGAATCTCGCCGCTAGAAAAAACTTGAAGCTGTAAACTANACTTTCTCGCGCTACAAATAAGTTCGGTTCTCGAAGTGAGTAACCGCGCGATTTATCAGAACTTCGTTACATCAACGCGCGCGATATGACGTAAACTTCGCACAACAGCGAAAATGATTTTCAATGACACTTCTCGATCATCGGAAGTGCAAGACGGGTTGTTTGACATCATTATTAATTTAATCGCTCTCTCGTTGCGCGTGAAAAAAAATTGTAGGCGTGAACGATCTAAAGGTTAAGTGGATCACGTCTACGCGTGTGTCGCTCGAAACAATNAGCCGTGCGCAATTTTATATGTGCAATACTCGCGCGAAAGAACCCTTTACACATACATACATAAATAATACAAGCGCTTAGTCGAGCGCATCGTGGGATGAAATCGATNTAACCAATTGGAATTATCAAATTAATAAGCGTGTGACGTGTGATATGTGCGTTTGCATCTCTCATTAGCGTTATTAATTACTAGAGCGTTTTAATATCCAGCATGATATTATTTCGTAAAATAATAATATAACAATAATAACAACAACAACAACAACAACAACAACAACAACAACAATAATAATAATAATCATCATCATCATCATAATAATGTTCGTCGACTATTTATTATTCATAATTGTTTGACAACATGTGAAATCATTTCTTTGAAGTAAACGAAATTACAAAGCAAAGTCTAATTTTTTCGTATCTAAACTATTTCCAGAACCCGGTTTTTTTCGCAGAACAGAAGAAACGATGAGATGTAAAAGAGAGTTGCAAAATTCTCGCAGGGAAAAACAAAAGTGAANGGATTTTGTATCTTCGTATCGATCAGTCATTGTCATACGTTCTAATTATCGGGAAGCGGAATATTCAGATTCGCGAGTCTTCGCGGCAGGATGTCAATCTTATTTATCGGTATATCCACAACCGGAAACTCGTGAAATCGCGACTTTCCACGTAAGGGATAGAGAAATGCGACGACGAAATGCACAAACGTGCTTTCCAACGTGTTTCTTTTTTTTTTTACGCGGACGAGAGATCGAATCATTTTGTCAATTCGCAATACGTAAAACGGTATCTCGATCCTCAAACGACTACGTGTTCACGTTTTTTTTTCACTGTCTTACAAGTTATCAAATAATTAACGCGTCAGTACAATTAATTGTCTGTAATNAGCAGTCAGTGTTCTTTTTGAGAATTAAAATGTCATTCGCGGCATATCCATGTCGAGTTGCAATCTGTGTTATCACAGGTATGTATGCACAATACACACACACGCGATATCACAAATTATACTCTCTACATTATATAACTGGTCTATAGATACGTTGTCGTTGATATAACTATACCGGGTTAAAGATCAGTTGCACAGTAATAAACCGGTTTTTTCGTCATCGTGTTTAACGAAATCTGATAAAAGCCACTGTGCGACTTTTGTAAAAAATTAAATAAAAATAACAAAATTAAAAATTAAAAAAATTACACGCACGCTTAAACTCTCGACGATTTAAAGTTCATTCTTGCGGTTCGAATCGGTGGTTTTAAACTCGTGCACTCCTCTATTTTGATTGTCATGATATTAAAAGCGAAGAAAAATCGTTCCGCCAATTCGTCAGTAATTTTTGACCGAAGATCGTTAGAGTGCAGAAGAGCGCGACGTTAAAGGAAATTGCTTCCGCATTAGTTAACGACGTTGCTGGCGAGGGACCGGAAATTGAAGCGACGTAGGCGGGAAGATGCCGGTAAATCCTTCCAATCAGGACAAATTCTAATTATCTCGTTCGGAAGGTCAATATTCGCTCGGACCTCGCCGCCTCGGCCAATTACGCGCAAACAAAAATCTTGTCGTGCTCGTTATCTTTGTCTCACAAACTCGCTCGTTCTTCCGACACGTTCGCTGTAATTTAATGTGTCAATTAGAATTTGGTTCTTTCTCTCAAATTGCAAAGCATTGACTCTACGAAGTAAAGAGAAGAACGGCGAAAAAAAGGTAGAGATCAGGTGACCCTAAACGCGGTTAAGTAACGTGATCAGTAAGAACGAAAGATAAAAAAAGATAAAAGCATTAGATACGTCAGTGAATATACATACGTTTTTTTATTTAGCGTCGACATTGTCTCTTAAATTCGCAATTAATCTGAATATTAATCTAAATATTAATCTAAATATTAATTTAAATATTAATTTAAATATTAATCTAAATATTTTACGCATCAATTAACGCAGAGTAAATTTGATACAACGTCGAACAAAAGATAAAATGTTTGAAATGTTAGTATAGAAATATTTTCACGTAATTGCGCAAAACTTTCGTGATCTTTTGTACAATTTCTCTTTCCGACTGTAAATGCTGTTGTTACGTCACTTCGCGAACGGAATCGATACCCGCGATTGTTGCCGTGGATCGTCGCCGACTCTTTTTGCCGGGATCGCGCGTCGAGATAGTTATAATCGTTCGAGTGAAACGACCCAATCAACGTGGATTGTGTCGCGCGGTACTTGCATAAATACAACGCGATTGTTGTATGTACATACATATGAATACGTTGAACGCGCGCGGCGCAGATTTCTATTGACTTTTCGGAGATACATATAGTTGAAAAGTTGCGTATTTTGTTTTTTATCGTAAATATGTATGAACTTTTAACCACGCATCACCTTTCTCGAACTATCGGAAATATTTTTTAGTTACAAAGCTCTGAACAAACTGGTGCGATTTATCCTCTCATTATTTATAAATACCTAGTTTATAAATAGTTTACATATAAATATATAAGTAGTTTACATAAATAGTTTATATATATAATTATATAATTTAATTTACAGACAGTTTAGATAACCTAAAATAAAATCACATTTTTTTCTCGCTATTGCATTTAATTGAGAAAAAAATTACTCACTCGCGTTTGAAATTATTATATAAATATACACGTTTTATTAATGCAAAGAGTTGTAAGAAGTTTAATTATCCGGAAAGATTAAGCGCACATTTTCGCCCGACACGCTTTTCTTTCATTTAATTGCCACGAAGTGGTGGACGCGAGATACGTGTGCAATTATCACGATATTATTAACGACGCCCGATGCCGTTTCTGGTCTCGTTACCGCGGGATCGCGATCGTTCCGACCGGACTGCGCGAGCAGTTTCTCGTTCCTCGCACTTCGTTTTTCGTAGGCCGACCGAGAACTGGGTCAAGGTAAGATGTGTTGCCCGTTCTGGTCTCCCGTTTTACCCTTGTTTTCCCGAGATCGATACGACGGGTGGTCCTTCGAGGAACGACGAAGGACGTCACTGCGACGTCTTTTCCCGCGTCGCGAAGATTTACGATCCTGAAACGCATACGCGCGGGCAATTTTTGAGAAAAAAAAAATTACAAAAGTTTAATGCGAGATTAATCGCCCCCGTTAATAACGAGAAACTGGAAAGGTAAGGAGAAAATATCGCATATCCACGAGAAATTGGAAAGAGCATAATTTTCCTTGAGGAATAAAATTTTCTCGAGCCGCATTCAGAGAGAATTCGCTATTTCAGTATAATTCATACTCCATTCACAAATAGCTAGCTTTCCTCGTTGGAGACTTCGTGAGATTGAAAAGAAAAAAGATGAAAATAACAAATAAACCCGTGAATGTAAGTAAAAGTTGTTTTGATTAAGTAACACAAAACGGCTAAATTACAATAGTACACCGCGTCCGTTCTTAAATAATAGCTTCACGCAGTCGATTGACTGCGTCCCTCTCTTTAACTGTTCCATTGTATTAAATAAATGCCGGTTTGATGCGAAAGTAAAAGTCCTTCATCATTTCGTTCACACGTGGAAGGAAACAGAAGGTTGAGTTCTTTCCATCCTGAAATCTTCCACGTTTTTTAATAGCTGCTACCATTTTTTTTTTTCTACAATGTACACACCGACTAGTAACATCTCAATTGTGAGATTGCGAGAAGAGTTTTAAATAAAGATTGGAATTCCGCGAAGAGAGATACAGAAGAAGAATCGCAAATCGCGCGCATTGTGAGCCGTGGAAAACGACTTTTCTATATAAGCGCCGGGATAAAACGCAGCGTCTCTTTCCATCAACGAAACATTTATTCAAAATTGTCTAGCGGTGTTTGCCGCGAAGAAGAAGAATACTTTCGAGCACCTTCGCATCGCGGCGAGTAGAGAAATAAATTCTTACGCCGCGTTTATTTATTCGGAACGCGCGATTACTTCGAACGGCCACGAGAAGTAACGGTTCGTCGTCGTGCCACAGAGTGCAACGGGGGCGTTTTTAAGGACTTTTCTTCATTTCCTTGCTTCGGTTCTCGCATGCGGGGAAAGAAATGTCAAACGAAAAAATGGAGAAGAAAAAAATTTCGTTTCGACACAAAAATATTCAAGTGCACTTTCACAGGGTTCGGATCGAAAGATCCGGGCTTCTAAAACATTTTTAATCCTCCTCCACGTGGAGTTATCGATTTCGAAAGAGTCGGCAATCACATATATATATATATATGCATTCGCCTACTTGAGTGTCGAAAGGGTTAAGGTCGGCGTTGTCTCGCGTGTAAAGGCGAATCGATCACACCGCAATGTATGCGGTATCGTTTGTGACGGGGAAAGTTTAAACGCGCGCGTCCAATCGAACCGTGGAAAAACCGCGACTCTCGCGACCTCGCGCGACTCACGTTCGATGGGAGTTTCAAGTCGATAGACACACAGACTGAATGTAACTCTCCGACCGGTTGTAAATCACACCGTGCAGGATCATTAATCTCTTTCCGTGCTATTTACAGCCTTCATTAATACACACATTAATAAAAAAATGTGTAATATACAGTTAATGATTTTCCATAGATCGACAAACAAAAAAAAACAAACAAACTTATGTACACACCGAAGTATCGTAATCTCGTGGAGATCATCGCTTTTTTTTCACACATAAATTTAATATACGACCGGAACTGTATCGCGATGGTAGCAAAAAAGAAGAGACGTAACCGGTTGGGACGTGACGAGCGGATGTCACATGCTGAACCACCCAGCTCGATTCAATTACTTATGGTATATTCAAACGATTAATTGGAGTTCTTCAGTTTATATACGATCCGAACCGGAGGGGTCCGCAATCAGGGGGTCCCCGAAAAAAATCCCCTCTAGGAGAGCGGCTTCCTGTGAATCCTGTAGGAAATTGTGTGCGGCGCGGGAGAGAACCTGACCAGCCGTCGGCTTTCGACTCTGCTCGCTCGCGCAGGAAATGTTGGATAGATAACAACCGCATCCTACGTAAACGCATCCGCGCTCATCCGCGAACGAGCGCTATCGCGTGTCGCCGAACTAAAACCGCAACAAGACATTGTATATTTAGCTTGGTCAGAGACACAAAGGCTGATGGATACGCGTGTGTGTGTATATATATATATTGTAATATATATATATATATATATACATATTGGATTACCGCGTGATTAAGAAAAGAATTACACGTTTTTATTCTGATCGCCGCTCGAGAAAAAGATGCGACACGTTCGTGTATCGGATTATTGCAGATAAACCGCAGCGAATAAACCGAGAAGGTTGACTTGTGGTATTGTCGAGTCTGCTTGAATAGCGTTTATTATGCGTTCTGCTGAGCAGAGATGTATTACATTGCTTGTGCTAAAATCTTTTCTTCTCAAATTTCACACACGCGAAGACAAAAAAATGAGAGAAAACGTTCGATCGAAAAATAAACACAGACGTCGAAAAAACGAGACGACGTAAATACGAGAACAGGAGAGTCGTCCGTCATTCTCTTAACGCGTTACATCTTTAAAATCCCCTGTTCCGCGTTTCACGTAACGCCTTTACAAACGCACTCGACTTGGTTCTTGAATTATTACACGACCGTGGTTAGGTGTGTGATTGACTTTTCCTTTCTGTTCAAACAAGAAGCAACGGCAAAGAGCCTCTCGACGGAAAGCGGCACGTGGGTTCTTTCTTCCGTGCGTCGCCCGCAGGGCGCACGTGCGTGTCCTGCGCGCACATTACGATAATACGTCATCCGGAAGGAACGATGATTGCTGGCGCGTTCGTGTCTCGGCGCTCGTCGAAGAGAAGTCGTCCTTGTCTTTTCGCCGTGAAACCGGTTATCTTTCGCGACCTCGGGGGCGCGATAAATCGTAAAGACGACATATTTTCTCCAAAACGCGCGCCTGCGTTTCTCGCTTCGGTATCAATCCCACCTTGAAATTTATAACGCTCTCGCTCTTCTTTATTTTATTAATCCGAGCTCTCGATCTCCGGGCGTTTGCGCGCGTTCTTCTCTGTTTTCCAAATCAATTCTAACAAAGAACAGATGCCTGTCGTTCTCGAAAGATCCCGTTCGACGACGTTGTTTTCTCGTCGGCCACGTCGGATAATAAAGCGATTTTCCACGATTTATTAACGTAGAATAGGAAGAACGTACCAGAGAGAAAGAAAGAGAGAGAGAGAGAGAGAGAGAGAGCTCGTACTGATGAGGAAAATCACAGAGACGTGGAGAATCGCACGGCCATTACGAAACCACCGAGAGCGCCGAGAGATTCGTGACGTGCATTTCTCGAAGAAGAAGAAACGCAAGCTGCGCCGTGAGGGCAGACGACCTCGGGGTTCCCGTGCCCGGGAGCCTCTTGCCGTGCCCCTCTCGCCACACAATTCTCGATACCTACTGCGCCCTTTGTATCCCGGTGCGCAGGTAGGTATTTCGGAGTTAGCTTGGTAGCAAGTTTGACATCACGTACGTACAAAGTGCGTAAGACGCTCGAATACTTTCGAAGATATACTGCGAGAACAAAAATCCTTTGTACAGCGTGAAAATCTCTAAAACTAAGGAAGAAGAAAAAGAAAAGATATTTATAGCCGGTACAATCGGAAATGTGATAAGAAAGAAAAGTGACAAATTACTCTGGATTTTATTGCACCGACGTGTCCCGCAATGTAGATTGCAACAAAAATCTTTTTCGCAAATCAAATCGTCTCGTGACAGTGTGAGGACTGATGGTTTTTTTTTTACGAGAAAGTAATCGAGAGATAAAAATAAAAAACTAATAAAATAAAATAATAAAACAATAATAAAATAATAGGCTCTATATAAAGTTCAAATAAATGAAAACAGGCCGAAAAAGCCGAACGCTGATTGCCTTGAGTAAATGTTTATTTACTCAAATGTAAATCCTCAAAATCGTGACACTAAGTTGGATTAATCAGTTACGAGCGAGATTGTACAAAGACTGACATTTACTCTGTGCCGCCTGAATACGCACAGCATTCAAGTGCGCTTACTTGTATTAATTCCCAAATCACACACGAGTTCATAGATTTCGCGAAGTCGGTTATCGTGAGATGTAGGTGGATATGCGCGACGATTAAACGACGATGGTAACGCGAAAACGGATTGTTAACGGATTAGCTGAGGAAATCTCGAGAGAGAAGAGACGATCGCGCGTGAGAGAGAAATAGGTATATCTGTTCTAATTAAATACAATCTGTGCGAACGGGATCCGAACGAGAGGACATTCCTCGGGCGAGAGAGAGAAATTTCTGATCAACAACGTTTTCTATTTAATCGAATAATATCGCGTGCAAGCAAGCGACTTTAACGCGCAGCTGCACAAATCAACGCGCGCGAAGATCGCATCTGAAGTAGACGTACCTCCGAGATATTCCATCGAGCGGAGGAAATCAACGATGATCGAACTAATCTCCTTCGCTATTATCCGAATGGTACGTATTAACGTGGGGAGAAAAGAGTAGCCGAGTTTTCAAAGATCGAATAATGAAGAGTCTCGGATGTCGGGAATGAAACAATAAATTGATGTAATTTCAATTAAACAAATTTTCTCGCACTCGCACATGATAACCAAAAAACAAAAATATTCCAAACTGTGTGCTAGTGTAAAATTGTAATAAACTACACGCGATATGCATATATCGACATGTAGATGTGGTAGTATAGTGCGTTTTATCTCGTTTCTACGAACAAAAAGATTGAGAGAAACTAAAAATTTCGAGGAAATCTTTGTGACGTTCTGAAGTGAATCAGAATTATTCTATTTGTGAGAAAACTCAAAAAATTTTTACGATTAAAAGATGTAATTCACTGAGCGAATTTGTGAGACATTTGTTAACGAAGGAAAAAAAATTTAACGGATTAAAAAAAAAATCTTATTCCACAATGGACGTCATTAGTCAAAATAGATTTAAATTCGCTCGCGTGGACGTGCGATTCGAAAGTGTTTGTCGCTAATGACATTTGTTCCGTTTCGATGACGATAAAACTCCGGCGACATTTATCTCCATCTGATTACACGTGTGCGTGTGTGTGCGTATTCTCCGAGGCTGACTCGTAAAAATAAACAACTAGGCGCAGAGTGTGTGCCTATTAAGTTGATAATATTATATATAACACAAGCCACTTAACACAGTCGCAGGTGCGTTTAAGACAAAACGCGTCTTGTGCGTCGCAAAAACAAAGAAACTGTTTAAATGTTTCTCGAAGTCTATGAGTCTAATTACCAGTGCTTTTGCTAATCGATTTTACAGCAAGAAATCTCTCGATTCCTCTTCTCTTTTTACAGTTTTTTTCACTTCTTGCAATTCCACTTTGGAAAGTTTAAAAAGATCTTTTGAGAGAAACAAACGCGCGCCGTGTGTACAAAACCGGTTAATGTAATTCATTGATTGTATTTCTCGACCGCGCCGCGACAAGGATCGGGCAAACAAGAGATGACGAAGGGAAGAGTATGTACTCACCTGTTGAAGGTCTGCTCGTACTGCTTGATCTCGCGGCGCGACAGCTCGTGGAATTCCGTGTACACGTTCACGAACTTGTACTGCTTCTTCACCTCCTTGCCCTCCTCAAGCTCGTCGTTGATCCTCTGTCGCCTGCTGAGCAGGCTGCTGAGTTCGGCATCCGCTGGCATAGTCCGGGCCGCGAGATCCTGACGGAGATCCTTCGATTCGAACGAACGTTAGAACGTTTCTCGACTTCTTCGCGAGAAGTCAGAAAAGATGCCGCGGATTCCGTTTCGATTTTGCGTCGCAAATTGCGAAGCGCGATTGTCGCAAGTCAACGAAAGACGAGAGTTTGTCAAAGGTCAGATTTAAGACGGTGTCAATGTTTACTCTTCTTCTGACACAAACCACACTCCGCAAAGCAACCGCATGGACTGACGCGGAGCCGCGCGTACAAGCAAACTGGTAGCCGCGCGCATGCGCGCGGTGTCCCTCGCAGTAGTTTTCGACGAAAACTTTGCTTTTTCGTCTTCGAATTCGCGCACAACTTTCAAAAGAGCGCGATATAATGCGGTTATTGCTCTTTTTCGATTCGAAAGAGTGCGTCACGTCAAAACTCCAGCGAGAATTGCTCACTTCTATTTACAATTTGTACAGTAAACTCGTTCGCAGTGCAAATATCAAGTGTAATACAAAGTAGCGACGTTAATAAAAAGGAGCGGAGTTTCTTCTTGCGCTTGTAAAAGTTCGCTCGAAAGCTCCGCGAGTTGCGATTCGATTTTCTTGTATAACACAGCTGGTCGGTTGCAACATGTGACGCCATCGTGCTTTCAAAATCGATGCGTATGTCTGACCGTTTATACATACACGTGTGCATGCTTTCTTCTCGCGTTTTGTTTTCCATCCGTCGTCCGGAGCACGTCGACCGTGAAAATGTATAATTCCCCAACTGTATTATCATAATGCGGTGCGGTCGTGGGGCCGTGAACGTAATGCGGAAAATGACAGGCAATGAACGCAATATACCCGGGTTTGACTTCACCCGCACACACTTGACAAGTTTTCTAAAAAAAATTTATATTATAGTAGCACGAATATTTTACTGAAATTGTGATGCGCATTAAAAAGAGAAAGTCGAATATTTACATACATTACGTGTTTTTGATCCAACACTTGTGTGTGTTGCCGTAACAAATAATCTTTATTGTTATTTAGTATATATACAAAAAGCGAATGCGCAGCTATAATTCTCGGAATAGAGTTTTGCTTGCCCTGCGCGACCTCTTTCTCAAAGAACTTAAATCACAAACTGAATGTAAAATAAGAGACAAGGATCTGTAACTTTGCGGATGACGCGTGAATTACCAATAGCCGCTAATCATTTACGGTGTCACGCATATCGCTAAAGATTAACACTTTCGTATCAGAGATGACGCGCACGTGTTGTTTTGTCAATTGCAACAATGAGATTATATATTTAAAAAAAATGCAGTTTATTTGTGTATTAAATAACAATTATCATGTAAAATAAGCGTATAAATATATAACTTTTACACAAACAGACATTTGTTTACAAAGCATCATATTAGAAAAATAAAGAAAACCATATATTACATTAAAGAAATTTAGATTAGTCTTAAAAATCGAATAATTTTTCAATTTAAAAACTGCTACAAATGTGACATCAAATGTAGACATGTTTCCTGTAATATAATACGTTTGCAATTAAAATTTTACGTCATTCTGTTCCAATCTTTCGATTTACATCTGATCTCATCCGAAGATTGTAGCAATACAAATTTTATGCACATTTAAAACTACTACTGAATTCATTTTCTTTGATTACAAAATTACAAAATTCTTATTTATCTATTAAAGTCACATACATTTTGATGTTAAAACAACTTGTCTACAAGTTGCGTTGGTTTGTTCTCTTATATCGAATAATGAGAAAATTTTAATTTTTGTTGCAAATAAATATCAACTTTTTTTTATTTAAAAAAAATAACTTCTTTTTAGATTCCAGTTAATTATATCGTTACAATTTCTATTATCAGTACAATTTCAAGAATATCGTTTGTATACAAATTTACGAAAGTAATATAGTATCAATTTTTTTATTACCACCGGTATCAAGTTTTGATTGTTTTATTTTTGCTTTTTCTTTGTTTTTTTCCACGAACAAACGAGATGATCGACTAGGAAATATATCGTATTTGGCATGTCCTCCAAAGCCGTCAAAATTCATCATACTATTGTCACTGACAGTCTTCTAGAAGAAATATGAAAAACATTCCTCTTAAAGTGATATTAAACATTATAAATATGCAAATGTGTAAAATGTAGATATGAACACAGCTTACTTGATTCGGTTGATTAAACTTTGACTTTTTTGTCAATATAGAAGGTACCTTTAAATGATTACTAGATCGCTTTATTGGACAACACTTCAAGAACGTATCTTGCAATTTTTCTTTTTCTGAAGTATTGCTAGAATCCTGATACGGAAGAAACTGCTAATGTTATATCCAGTTTTTGCATTTATATAAGTCAAGAAAGTCATACATTATAATAATTACTATTTTCGACTGTCACTTACTGTATTTTTGCTCTTCACTGAGCCTTTGTCTTCTGCAAGTTTTATTGTATCCATAAATACCTTTCTCACCTCTATCACCTCCTCCTTGAGATCTTCATTTGACAATGTTTCACGACTAGTCAAGTTACTGAAAAAATTTATAATTTGTGACAATGTAACAAAAATAGTTTGCAAAACAGAAATTTAATTTGATAATTTAAAATATTGCATACAGTTTTTCATAGATTTGTCGATTTTCTTCTCTCAACTCCTTGCAAGTGTTTTTTTCTAATCTTAATTCTTCCTGTAATTGTTTCTTTTCTTGTTGTAACATGTTGTACATGTCTCTAAGTTTTGTTCTCTTTTGATGATTAAGTTTTAATTCTCTAAAACAAATGTAAATAAGATATATTAAAGATTTTCATTATTTTTAAGTTTTTCATTTATTTTTACATGATAAAAAGACTGATTATGAATTAAAGTTTTGAGAAAATACAAGTCAAATTCTTGAAAAAATTTGTTTTTTGAGAACTCTAAATTATTTTTTGGTTCCTCTATGGTAATATACATCTTCTAATATAATTATTTATATAAAAGTACCTTTTCAATACTGATACATATGTGGCAAGTGTGTTAGCATCATGTGTTTCTGCCAACATTGCATCCACCTCGGGTATAGAAGTTTCTATTAGATTTTGAATGCTATAAAATAAATATAAAATTGTAAAAATGGTTTTGAAATTGTACTTTTGATTACATTTGGTATGTCTAAAACTGATAAAAGAATATTATGAAAAACATACTTTTTTAAGAGACCAAGTTCTTTTTTCAACAATTTAATCTCATGCTTATAGGTATTTATTTCTTCATTAAATTTTTTGAGTTCTTGATTTTCATGTCTATAAAACTCAAGCTGTTCCTTAAATGCAAGAATCGCGCTTTCTTTGCTCTTTATACTACTTTCAACTTTTCTAACTTCCTGTCTCAAGCCGAGTGTCTCCTTTTCTAATTTTTTCTCTATTGCTCTGAGAGTATCGATTTCTCTGTCCTTCAGCTTTATCTGAAAATTTAGATTTTCAATTCTTTGCTGCAGAAACGACGGATCTTCTATGATACTATCATTGTTCGAAAAATTGAAATATATCTTGTGTATAGTGTTCTTGGTTGCTCTTTCGCGACATTGCGGACAACTCTTTGACCTGCAATAAGAATTTAAAACAAGCTTCAATTTTATTGTACACATATAATGTATAAATTCCAAAATAAAACACAAGTATTTTGAACAATAAGAAAGAAAAAGAGACAGATACGAATAGAATTAAAATTACAAACCTTTCAAGCCATTGTTTCAAGCATTCATGATGAAAAATGTGTCCACAAGGTGCACTAAAGATCTCGCTGCATGCCAGCACCATGTCGCTGCTACATATCACACATACTACATTCATTTTAAGCGTTTCATAACAATCACGATCAACCGCCAAGAAGTCAACTTGCGCCCAATGCAAATTATAAACAATAATATGCGCTAATAGATGAATTGGTTTGCCAGTTTCAAATCGAAATTGTTCATATTTTGCTGGGATATTATGTCATTGTGACTGCTTTGTTTGTCCACACATTTTTGTAATTAAAAAATGCACCAAAATATGTATACGTAAAATTCAGTAACGATCGCGCGTATCAAGGTTTGTTTGTATTTACTGCAAGTCGCATACACATCGGTTATTCAATCGACTTTTACATCGACTTTAACCAGAAAAGAACTATCGTAGCGACATCTATTTTCAGGTGTAGACAATCCCAGTCAACACAGTCGGTCGACAGAGTCGGTGCGTACAATATGCTTATGAAAAAGCATATTGTAAAATATTTTAATAGCGATTTCGGCTGGTTTGCACCGATTGTACATTTCGGGTGTCGGTGCAAATTGTGTGTTCGGCTGGTCGAATGGCAGCAGTTCTTTGCTGGATCCGCGTATTCGTCTGAGCTCAGTACACCGCATAGGTTCATATTGGGTGTACACAAAGTGGCTCTCACAAATTAGTCGGAGCCAGTTACCCAGCAAACATCACGTGTCAGCACGCCGTGAAAGCATGCCATGTGAACAATATATTGGTACAGTGTTGTTCAGTGATGCCACGCGTTGGTATGCTAGCAAACTGATATCATGGCATGCTAAAAATAATGAGATAAATGACGACAGAGG